GAAGAGGAGGAGGACGACGACGATCGGACATAGCGTCTGAACTCAGGCACAGCCCAGTGATCGAATCAATCCCGCGATCGCGACTCTGCGAAACCAGCGAACTGCAGCGGACAAAAATTCCGCGCCCATTCAAACTGCCCACAAGGGTAACCCCCGCATCACAACACGGGAAGCCCTGCGTCCTGCGCCCCGAGGAGACGTCGCTGGCACCGCGGCCAACCCGAGGTAGACCCACCGCGCCCGAGATGGCGTTTACCCTGGTTGCCGCGGCGCCCTCCCCAAGGCACACGGCACAGGGCCGCGCGGCGGAAGCACCGGCGCGGCGACATATCTGGCCTAGCCTAGCTCATGGGCGGGTAGCAAGTGCCCAAAGGGGGAAGCGAGGACTCCGCTGAGTGGGCGGAGCCCCCTTAGCCCCGATCGCTGCCCCGCCTAAGCCGCTCATGGCACTTGCAGCACACTTCCAAACCAGATCTGGCCAGACAAATCCCACCTGGGCATCAACGTGTAACCCCTGTATCCCTCTGGTAATATCCGCGCCGTTCCAAACAGGGGCGGCGGCGACGGCGGCGGCAATGGCGGCGGCAAATACGACGACGGCAACGATCTGTCAAGGTCTCCAGAGGTCCTGGAAGTCCCTGGAGGTCGCCAGAGGCCCACTGCAAGCCCTCAAAGAAAAAAGCATGTCCGACACCCTTGAGGCTCGGTGCTCGAAACCCCCACGTCGACGACGCCCACCATCGCAACGACGACGACCGACCGACGACGCACGACGACTGGCCAACGGCGACCAGCAACGGACGACCAATGACTGGGGCACCAACAAAAAAGATAACAATCATCGACACTGCCACTCCGTGGGGCGACGAGGGAAGCAAGAGCGACATCGGCACCTCTCTCTCCTCGGAACCACGAGGAGGACGGACCGTCGGACCGACGGACCGACGGCAAAACAAGAGGAAGACATTCGCCTAGCGAAAGACCCAACCATTCGCGGATGTGAGTACCGCAATTGTGGACATCGTCTTCGGTGGCGCTCCCTGTGGGGCCACGGACCGTGTGAGGATCCAACATCACAGGACGGTTGGGGAAGAAAAACATCTGCATAAACTTTTAGAGCTCCGCGCAGAGTTCCTTGATCGGCGTTGGAGCTCCCCTGGCGGCGCCTCAGGCGCCGTCCAGGGCGCGCTCCGCGCGCCAGGGGGGGGGTCCAGCAAGGAGTCAAGAAATCCCCGTGGATCTCCGAAAGTTTACCCGATTCAACTTTATTCGACCCCGCCTCCCTTATATCCTCGCATCCTAAAACAACGCGGACGGAAGATCTCTGCCAAGTCTCGGCATCCAGGGGCTCGATGTACGGCCCCTGGGCCGTCAGACCTGGGCTCGGGATGGGGTGCAGACCTCTAGGGAGCCACGCTGTGAGCCGCGGTCGCCTACCTCCGAGATCCGACGCTGCGAAAAAAACGGCAGCATCGCGAGCAGATCCCGTCCACCTGTGACGGCCCCAGGGTCCCACATCGGGCGAGGAGACACCAGGTGCAAGCAAAGAACATCTGGGGGCGACACACGGGCACCGATGCCGCTCCTCCTCGGACCTCTCCTGGGGTACGCTCTGGACCAGAAGTTCGGAGCAAGCCCAGGGCCAACGAGGAGGGACGAGGGCCTCCCGGGAGAGACTCAGGAAAAGCAAACACTTGTTTATTACGTCGGCGGCTGGGCAGGGGACGTCTGCGCTGGCGAATGGATCAGGCCTGACCCGGGGATGCCGTCAGAGCAAATTATGCCACCATGCAAGGGGAGGAGCGGGAGGAGGGGGCGGACGGAGCGAGCGGCTCAGGGGGGGCGGGGCAGAAAGGCGAACACGAAGTATCGGTACCCGTCGGTCGGAAGAACTGGGGTAGAGGCATGAAGCAGGAAGGCGATGAAGTAGACTGGGCCTCCGCCCGCTCCCTTCAGAGGAAGGAGGGGGGAAACCACTCGATCATTGAAGTAGGAAGGCACTGAAAATAAATTGGGACCTGGGGATCGAGCCACCTTCAACGACCGACGGGTAGAGGTATCGGTGCAATGACTTGTTCTCCTCCGACGCCCACATCTCTGCGACGGCCCGACGGCCCGACGGGGGGCGGCGGACCAGTCGGGCGTTGCTTCACGGGGGGCGATCAGTGTGTGTGTGTGTGTGTGTGCGTGTGTGCGTGTGTGTGTGTGTGAATATATGTGTGTTTGTGGCTGTGGGGAGACTCGTACACCTTTCGTGCCCCAGGGGAGGGAGCCCTCTAGGGCCTCCTCGGGGCACAAAAGGTGCACATGCTCTTCACCTCCCATATATCGCCCCCCCCAAAACAGTTAAGGACGCACGATGAGGATGCAATGGCCTTGAAGGCCATAACGGCACTTTGCGAGCGGGGCGCGGCAAGCGAAAGCGGCCCAGCACGGGCCGAAGAGGCAAGGATGCAAGGGTAGCCTTGGAAAACCGCGCATCTGTCCTCTGCGGGTTGACTGCACGGCCTCGTTTTTTTGCAACTCCCACTGATACCGCCCTACAATCACGCAACCCGTAGGTCCCGCGTTGCACAACCAGTTAAACGTCGCAACAAATCACCACGGGAGCCACGGACCCCATCCTTCTACGTCATTTCACTAACCGCATCGATATCTGAAAGCCCCGGGGCCCGAACACGAGCGAAAACATCCGTTGTGAAACAATTGCAACGCCAGTTCCCCGGGGAACACGCCCAGACTGGCAGAAGAAGAAACAATGGCGCTACCATAAACTCGTGGTGCTCCGCGCGGACTTCTTGGAGTCGCGCCAGGGGCGGCGCCAGAGGCGCCGCCAGGGCGCTCCAGCGCAGATCCGAGAAATCCACGCGGAGCGCCAAGAGTTTACCCATCGGTCGGAAGAAGTAGGTAGAAACATGAAGTATGAAGGCGTTGAATGTAGAATTGGTCTCCGTCAGCCCCCCAAGGAAGAGGGAAGAAGGGATGAGATGAGATGAGACGACTCCCAGGGACGTCCAGGGAGGAAGGAATCAGCCCAAAACAAAAGTGGGGGGGGTGCACCATCGAAGGAGATGTTTGCGACAGGTGCACGCGGCCCCAACTAAGGCCTCCCACGGGCCTCTTCACGAGCTCGGATGCGCTCGTGGAGGCGGGCCAGTCGAGCTTCATACGGGACAGCGCTGTCCAGAGGACAACTGGCACTGCTGGCGACGGTGGTCCTGGAAACGACCGATGGGTATGATTATGCGTTTTTCGTTCTTCGACAAACCCGACGGACCGACCAGTCTGACGGACAACCCTGAGACCCCTGGACGTCCATTGATTTTTGGTGTGAAAGCGTCGCGCCTTCCATGGGAAAACCATCCAAGAAACCCAGGGCACCCTGGAGGCAAGCAGGGTGCTTCTTGGCATGGACCCCACTGTATGCCGTTTTCCTTGTTCAGCAGTCGGGCGTTGCCAGAACTGGGTTTAGTGGGGTCTGGTTTAGTGATGTGTACTGGGGGACGCCTGACCCCGGAACTGCCGTCACCCGCAAAAACACCAGCTCTGTACGGCACACCTGGTTTCTGGTGATTCTGGCCAAGTGAGGGGCTCCAGGGCCCTACTACGAGCCGGGTCTCCTTACCTAGAGGCCTCCCAGATGGGGTCCGAGTAGATAGGGTCGGAGGATCGCGCCGCATCGCCGATACATCGCCGATGCATCGCCGATGTATCGCCGATGTATCGGCCATGCACTGGCGACGTCGGCGGTACATCCACGACGTCGGCGCGGAGAAAATTGAGCCCCTCATCGAGCCGCATCGACGATGTATCGTCGATGCATCGGCGATGCGGCGCGATCCTCCGACCCCATCTACTCCGACCCCATCTAGGGGGCCTGGTTCCTGGGGTCATGGCTACACCCGAGACAGACCCAACGGACCCCACCAGCCTGCTGGGGCTGCCAGCGCGGCCGCCGCCGGGCCCGCCGGCGAGCCAGGCGCTGCCCTGCCGCGGCCCGGGGGCGCGGTGCTCGGGGCTGGGCTGGCGCGCGGGGCGGGCGGCGCCCTCGCGCCTGGCGCGGCCAGCGGCCGGGGAGGTCGCGGGTGTCGTCGCCGTTCGTCGTCGACACCCGTCGTTCGGCGCCGTCGCCGTCGTCGCTCAGCGCCGTCGCCGTCGCGATTATGGCAGGGGAGTTGCAGCAGCAGTCGTCGTCGTCGACGTCGTCGCCGTCGCCGTCGCCGTCGCCGTCGCTGTCGCCGTCGCCGACGCCGTCGCCGTCGTCGTCGCCGTCGCCGTCGTCGTCGTCGTCGCGGGAGTGGAGTCGGGTTATGATATGCGTGGCCCCCTCCAGCTGGGAAAATGATAACTCCCCACAACATCTCCCAGGGAGTCTCAAAACAGTTGTTTCCTACGTTTCCGACGCAGCCCCAAAACAGTTTTAAAAAATCAAAAACAATGCTCGCTCGTATCAATTCGATAATGCGTAAAACATAATAGTTCTAACGTTTTGCTGGGTCCGCCTCGGGTCCGCAGCGCATCGTCCCCCAAGAACCTCAGCGCGCGCTGAGTGCGATGTGTAGTTTGGCGGGGTTCAGCCCCTTTCCCCACAGGTGCGATGCGAGGTTCCGTATGGTTCAACCTAGGCCCTTTCAGGCCCTCCCCCCCCGTGCCCTTTGGGCAGGACGCGCACCGACTCGACGTCCGCCTTGCTCTGTTTTGAATAGGGGGTTGGGTAATGAGCGAGGGGGGAGACAAAATAAGGTCGGGGGCTGGGCGGGGGTGGGCGGGGGGGGGGCACATGACACATGACAGAAAGGAAGGCTGTGATGAGCGGGGTGCAAGCGCCCTTGCCCCCCCCCCCCCCTTCCCAAGGGATTCAGGACGCTCCCCCCCCCCCCCCCCGTCGCCAACGGCAGCAGCATCACCGCCATCATCATCACCACGCGCTGCCGTTTTGGATCGTACATGTCTCGGCAAGGCTTTGGCACTTTGTGTCCATTTTTTGCGGCAAGACCGCGATGGCGGACGGCTGGGGCGATGTGCTCGCCGAGGTTGCGGGTGAGCCTCACCCGCCGCCCCGCGGCCCCGCGGGCGCCGCGGCCAGAGGGCCGCGCCCCCCGCCCCGCAGGCCCAGTCGGGCAGCCGCGAGGTCGGTCGCGGCGGCGGGCCGCACCAACGCCCTGGCGCTGCCCCTGTCGGAGTCAGTGAAGCTGCCCACCGTGCCCAGACACATAGTCCAATGCACGGGCAGAGGCTCGACAGATCAGTGGCCGCTGCTCCCGTACGTTCGCATGGCAGCGCTCACGATCGAGCGCCAGAGAGTATCAGACCAAGACGTGCCAGCGAATCTCAACCGCATGTTGATGGATTCGTCGTCCGAGCTGGCTGGCAGAACCACGTCAAATGCATCGGTCCAGGATTCGATCGGCGTGACCCCTGGGGGCTACACCGAGTACGTGATCGCCCTGGCCAACACCATCGTACATTTCGAGCGGGACCAGAAGCTTGCGCTGGAGAGCTATTTGACAAATACGGTCCCCAAGGAGAGCTTGCTCCACTACGTCGAGGCGGTCAAGTACGACGAGACCCCGATGAAGCTGTCAGTGAACGATTCTTTCCAAGCGCGTGGTCGTGGTGCAGTGGGCTCTTCCGATCAGCAGCAGGTGGCCGTGTACCACATGGATCGATCTCGACAGTGGGGGAAGCCGAAGTTAGAGAGAACTGTCATCAAGCTGCTGCAGAGCTCGTCGAGGTTCGGGTGCCTTCTGAGGACCAACGCGGGCGAGTACGTCGGCATCGTCGGCGCGTCCATTGCTCCGCTCCAGTGGCTGGATCGGAACACTGGGGAGTGTCTTCGAGAGGCGGACCAACGTCGCACCACTGCTGTTGGACGGGCTGCTAAGGACTTTGCGTGCAAGACGCGCGCGTCAGTCCTGGACGGCGCTGGCCCGAACGCCCGCTGCGAGGCGCAGGTCGGGGTTGACCGACGAGGCGACGGCTGGGGCAAGATTGGTTTCACATGCTCCATACATTGCCTCGCGAACGTATTCACGCACACCTTCGACCTGACGGGCTCCGACGTGTCTGGCCAAATCAATTTCGCACTTGCCGTCAACGAGGGCTCGGGCTTCTCTTCTTTCTGTCGGATATTCCGCGCTGTGGTTCAACAGCGGATTCGCATCCGCAGGGGGAGGCCCCCTCCAGAGGCCACCCCGTGCAAGCGGCACTTGCTGTGCCTTTCGCTCGCAAGGGGGAGTCGACTGATCGAGAAGAAGACAGCTTTGCACCATTTGCCGAACGGGGACTGGAGGGACCGAGAGCACGTCGACATATGGATTCTCGAGGGCATCGACATAAACGAGAGCGAGATCAAGAAGTCGGTGTCGGAGGCCTTGGAGGTCGTCCTCTTGGGAGCTCGATTCACCCGGTGGCCGAGGAGCAAGAGGGCGGGGTCCGACGTCGCCATGGACGAGTTCATCCTACTTGATGGCATTCACGGCTTGGGCTCTGCTGTCTGGGCTATCTGGGCGAAAGAGATGGCTCGGGGCTCCAAGAAGAGACCTCGGCTGGGCGATGGCGGGGCTCTGCCAGCTGCTGCCGCCGGGCCTGGCGCCGCCGATGGCGGCGAGGGCGGTGCCGCAGAGGCTGCGGCTGCCAGCGGCGGCGATGGGCAGGGCCATGGAGATTTCAATGCAAAACGGCTGGAGAATGAGTACCATCGTAGCACCGCTGGAGATTGGATGGACACGTCGCCGCTTGACAGAGTGGTGATCATTCGGCAGGTGCTGGAGCCTTTACGTCGGACGATGGATTGGCACCTCGAGGTCGGCGGCAAGCACTGGGAGATCAAGCAGAGGGGCATGGTTGTCCAGGCTGAGTCCAAGGGCGCAGCCAGTTCGACGAGCAGGACGTGGCCGATCGTGGAGGCTGCGCTTGGCACCCCTGCGCGCGTCTTCCAGGCTGCGTGGGACCCTCTGTTTCGCGAGCACGTGCTGTGGAAGGACCTCGTGCAGCCGTCGGCGATGACTCGGAAGGCGCGCGCCCTCGCGTTCAAGCTTCTTTCGAGGTCTGAGTGCCAGGTTCGGGAGGCGTTCATGCATCGACATAGTTTGCTTCCGACTCGCATCTTCGCCATGATCGCGGACCCAGCCGTTGCGCAGGAAGTGAGTGACCTCCAGGATTGCCGCATGGACAGCTGGACGAAGGACTTCGTGCTGCGACACAAGGACGCGGACGGAGGCTTGTCGAACCCAGCGGCGATCGCAGAGTTGAACCTTCTTGCCGCCATGATCGACTTGGACATCAAGGCTATCGAGTCCCGCCACGCCTCGATCCGCAGGCGGCTGATGGTCAGGGGAGTGCAGACCCACTCGGCAACGTTCGCGGAGTCGTCGGCCGAATGGGTGGTTGCCCAAGCTCGTTTATCAGGCAGGGCATTTCGAGCAGTCGGTGAGGGGGGCGCGCCAGCAGGTGGTGGCGATGACGCAGGGGGCCCTGGCGGGCCGCCAGAGGGCGAGGAGGCTACCACCACTGTCAGGGGCACGGTGTCTTCTTGGCATGCTTTCCTGAGGGAGCAATCCCTTGGTCAGACTGGCCGCCAGTGCATCGCCGCCTTGAGCGCTGCGTACCGCGCTTTACCCAGAGCAGAGGTGGCGAGGCTGGCTGCCGTCGCAGCCGCGGCCAATGGGAATCCCCGTGCTGCGGATGCACCTGGCAGCGCCTTAGGCCTTCGGTCCCGCGACCTTGCTCGCGCCCAGGCCAAGAGGCGGCGGGAGGCGTCTGAGCAGCAGCTCGTCGCGGAGGCTGTCGTGCCGACCAGCCGCGGGGGATGACTGATTTGGCAATGCGGCGAGCATCGGCAGATCCCAACGCCACCGTGAACATGGACTCGATGATGCGGGCTGCCCAGTCGCACATGGTGAGCTTGCGCCGCGTGGCCAAGACCGAGCAGCGAAAGATGGCCGACGCGATGGAGGCTTGGGAGTCGACTACGGGCGCTGCCCGTCCAGAAGAAGAAGTACACCTGTGCTCAGATCGGCATGTGCATCTGTTGCCCTGAGGCCGATGTCATCAAGAAGTTCCGCAGGCGCTTCTACTCCGAGCTGAAGGGCCTCTGCGCCAAGGGGTCGCCCGAGCGGAAGCTCTTGGACGATTCCAGCTTGGTCGTGCGACTGCACGGCATCAAGGCGGCTGTCGTCGATGGCTGGGGCGTTGTGGCAGCTGGCCTCTCCGGCGACGACCCCGACGGCGTGGGCGCCTACGTGTGGTGGCACATCGGCTCCCACGAGTTCAGCCCCTACTGCTCCAACTTCAGGCCGCTCGCCTTCGTCGAGCAGGGGGCCGTCGGCGGCCAGGTGGAGGTATTGTTGGAGGAGCAGTTAGCGGAACGGAACCACGCTCATCCCACCACGAACGCGTGCGTGCACGCACGCTCGCGCATGCGTTTACGCGCGTGCGCCGCACGCGCGTAAACGCATGCGCGCTGGCACGCGCGCGCGCACGCACGCGTGCGCATATTCGTGGGCGCGCGCAAATACGGGCAGCTGCGCACGCATGCACACGCATGCAGGCACGCAGGCACGGGCACAGGGGACGAGGGAGAAGAGGAGGGTGTGACGAGACAGACCAGGACGACACTGGCGAGGGGAACGCAAGGGGGCTAGTCGGAAAGGGGTCATAGGGATCGATGGGGGGAGGATGATTGGGGATGGGGTGAGAGTGATCCCGTCATTGCTATAGTTTCGCCCCCCACGAGGGGTGCCACAGAGTCTTTGGTTGATTGGGAGGCGTTCAGTAGCTTGGACCTCACGGCCGATTGGTCGATCAGCTTTTGGGTCATCGACGAGAGTGATCGTGCCGTCGCCCGTTTTCGCCCTGCCGACGTCGTCGTGGTCTCCATGGGCCCCGAGTCCGAGCTGCGGCAGTCAGGGAAGGCGACGAGGCGGGCCACAGCTGCGCGGCCCGCCGCCACGGACGACGGCGACGACGGCGACCACGGGAGCATCGCGTCGGACCAGGAGGAGGACCTGGATGACCCCCTCCCCCTGGACGACGGGCCCGTGGGCGGCGACGACCACGGCGGCGCGGACGACGTCCGCGCTGGTGGCGAGGACAGCATACTTGAATGTAAGTTCCCGCAAGCATCGCCTAATCCTATGGTGGGGAGGCCTCTACATTTAACACATTAGCTAGTTAGGTTAACGGTGTGGAAATTGTAAAACAGCAGCGCTTCAAACAAGAGCACAACAATCAAACAACACGTAAAACAAAACAACGGCTCTAACACATCACAAACAAGCCCCGATAGGTTCCGACACGCCACCGAAACGGCCCTATACGTCCCCAAGAGCGGGAGGTGACGAGGAGGTTGGACGACAGGGGGTTAGGGAGGGGGCGGTGGAAGGCAGGCAGGATATGAAGCAATCCCTGGTAAGAAGAACAGTTGCACATTACGGAGGAGGAAGATGATGTGAAGAAGCGGAAGCAACACGAGGAACATATGTATGTCTCTTGGGGGTCATCTTGGAGCCGTGCCGGGCCGTCTCGGCAGGCCTCCTCTGTGGGTCTGGGGTGGAGTGGGAGGGCTGGGGTTGCATCGCCCTCCTGCCCCTCGATCCGCACAGGACGAGGTCGGCATGGACATCGACGAGTTGTTCAGCGAGGGCGAGGGCGACGACGGCGGCGGCGAGGTTCCGCTGCCGCCCGAGGCCCCTATGCCACCGCCTGTTTTTCCGTTGCCTCCGCCCCCGCCTCCTGTCTCTCGGGCCTCCCGCTCAGAGGTGGGGTCGCGGGCGAGCCGCGAGCCTGTGCAGCATGCTGTCAATGTCCAAGGAAAAAGTACGATTGTGTATTACAGGAAAGGCAGGTGTTTCGAGGCCAGGTGCCATCGTGGCCATGGTCGCTGCACAATGAGCGCAGCAGCGCACGGCAGCGATCTTGAGAATTCGGCTGCGCAGGGGCGCCCACTTGGCTTGTTAGTATCGTGGGTTCTGGACCTTGGGGAGGTCTGTGACGACAAGCCGTCGCGCAAAAAAAAACAAATTCGCACTCCTGACGCTGCGTCCGTACATGAGGCGGCGTGCTCGGGAGCTCCTTCGTGGCCTGCCAGGAGAGCCCGAGGAGCCAGAGGGATTGGCGTCCTCCCGATGAGCGATGAAAAAACGATTAAGGGGTGGGGCGGAGGTGGAGGAGCAGGATGCCAGGGAACGGTGATGAGGGGGAAGAGCAGGGACAACCGAAATGAGGAGGGGGTGAGGCCCTCGCTTCCCTTATAGGTTGCCGTGCAAGAAGGGCGGCTGGGGCGCCGATGGGCGAGGGGGACCGGGGTCGACGTTGAGGCGGGGGCTCTCGTCTTAGCGCCGCGCACGCTCATCTTAAACATCCGCAGCAGACGCGGATGGAAGGCGGGCGGTTTTCAAGTTGCGGCCCTCGCCTGAGCTCGTCTACAACTTGCATCAGCTATACTGATGGAGGGCGAGCGGTGTTCAAATTACGCTCTCGCCTTAACCTTGGCGCCGCGCAATCTCATTCTCAAAGCTTGCAGCACTTGCACTTCCCCCATCGCTGAACGGATATGTCCGAGGTTTGGCGTGGCGACGTGCCCCGTGCCTGACAGCCTGGGCTTGGCAAGTGGATGGGCAACGGTTCGAGGTGATTTGTCACCCCCATCTCCCCATCTGACGCCCTCTCTTGGCTTTCGCCGCCGCCCCTCTCCTCAGCTTCGTCGCGTCTGGCCCGCGAGCTCATGCATCTCAGACCCCGTCCCACGGTAAGTGCAGTCATCATTGCCGTGCTGGCGCATCTTGGAGCGCCCTTTGGGGCGATGAGGGCCCCCTGTGCACTGCGGCGGCGGCTGCGGCGACGGCGGCGACGACAGCGGGTGTGATAAGGGCGACAGCGGCGACGACGGCGACGACGACGGCCCTTCGGCCAGTCGGTGTGGCTGGGGCGCCATGGGGTGCTCCTGGAGGTCTCCCCATGGGGGGGGGCCTTCTGTGCCCTCAGACTTTTTCGAGACTCCCCTGTGAGACTCTTTTGGCACCGAGACTCTTCTTGAGACTCCTCCTGGGACTCCGCTGGACTGCGAGACTCTTTGTTGGTGCCCTCTCGGGGGCAGCTGTTCGAAGGATTCGGATGGAGACTGTTTCGAGACTTTTTCGAGACTCTGTCTGAGATTATTTCCTGTGTTTTTTTTTGCGCGTCCTGGGGGCCTGGCACGGGGGGGAGGGCGGCGGTCGCAAGGGGACTGTTTTGATCTTTTTTGGAGACTGTTTTGGGACTTTTTGGTGCCGTTTTTGGCCAGGAGACTGTTTTGAGACTGTTTTGAGACTGTTTTGAGACTGTTTTGAGACTATTTTGGGACTGTTTGGGGGTTTGGGGAGCCGTTCAAAAAGTACAGAAAAAGTATCGAAACAGTTTCGAAAAAGTCTCGAAACAGTCTCCCGCGCCGACCCCCCCCAAAAAATATACAAAAAATATCAAAACAGTCTCGAAATAGTGTTTTGGGAGAGTCTCAGAAGCGATTTGGGCACCCGCCGCCCTATTCCCAAGAGTCTCAAAACAGTCTCACAACAGTTTCAAACAAGTAGCTAAACAGCGCACTGCGAAACACACACATGAAAACACAGCTCCCCGAAAAGTCTCGAAACAGTCTCAGGGGGGGACTCTTCAGACCTTCAGCTGCCCAAACAGTGCCAGGGGGGGGACTCTGAGGACCCCCGCGTGCCCAAAGAGTGTCCAAAGAGTGTCCCGAGAGGGCGCCGAGAGGGGCCGCGAAGAGGGTCAGTTCCCGCGACGTTGGGCCCTCGTGGGGAGCCCTTGGGGCCCTCTTGGGCCCCATTGGAGCCGCATCGTGCCCATGTTGGGCCCCTCTTAGGCCCCTGGGAGGGCTCTGAGAGGGTTCAGAAAGGGCACCCAGATGCCCCAGAGGGTGCTCCAGACGCGGAGGGCCAAGCAATAACATATGTGTTTGGGTTTCTGGCATCAACGCAATCCTGGGCCCCTCGTGGGGCCCTCTCGGAGCCCCAAGAAGCTTGCCGAGAGGACCCAGGATTGGGCAATGCCGATACACGCACATGTTTCGGATGGGTCCATATTACGCCCTAGGGGGGTCGCAAAGAAGGCGCCGAGAAGGCCCTGGACCGACCGTCTGGGCACCGCTACATCCGTTTCATGTTTACATTATAATCATTAGAGCAAGGGGTCCTGCAGACAAGCATCTGGCTGCTCGAAATCGGGGCCCTTCTCGGGGCAAGCTCGGAGTCGGCCTGGGCTTTAAGTTTGAAAATGGGGCCCGCGCTATAAATCTATCCTGGGCGCAACCAAAGGCCCCACATAGGTTTCGTCGTTGACCTTTTGGGGCCCATGGCTCCGGCCGTTGCGAGTTGAACGGGGCCTGGGCCTTAGGGGGCCCTGGGCCGCCATGGGGCCCAGCTGTTGAAGGCCCTGGGCCGCCCTGGGGCCCGAGGGGCCCCCGTTCGACCGTCGGCGTCGCGTCGCCCTCTTGGCTCAAATTTCGCAGAGCCTTTGAGCACGCGTGCTCCGACCGCCAGTGCCCGACCAGCACCGCGGCCGCCCGACGCCCAGCCGCTCGCATCGGAGATGGCCAAGCGCAGCTCCAACGGTGAGATGCCCGCTGCTGGTCGCCAACGCCGCCTCGGTGCGAAGTCCACGACGCGCGGTCTCTGCGGCGAGGCGCCGAGGGTCCAGCTGAAAACCGAACCAATAGCAACAACAACACAACAGCAGCAACACCACTAGCAATAGCAATAACAGCAGCAACAACAACAGTCGAAACAATAGCAACAACAACATCAACAACAATCACAACAACACAGCAACAACCCCCCGCCCCTGCTGTCTGCTCCCTGCTCCTTCCCCTCCTCCCTCCGTCCTTCATTCCCCCCGTGCTCTATCCTCTGATGCTCCCGACCCTCCTCCCCTCTCCCTGCCCCCTACCCCCTCGCCCCCTTGCGCCCACCCCCACCCCCCCCCGTCGCTCGCAGAGTGGCGGAGGAGGGGGGGCGGAGCGCGCGCGGGGCGCGGAGGGGGGGGTCGAGGATCCGGGAAGCAAGTTTTTGTTTAACAGCAATTGTTTGCCGCCGCGAGGCGTGCGACGACCTGGTCAAGCGCGCCCACGAGGACGAGGCCGTCTTCGTGCGCCGCAGTTGCGACGACGTCTACGTCCACAGCCTGAGCTTCATGACGATCACCGACGTCGTCGCGAGCATGGGCGACGAAGTATTCAAGAAGGATTTCATCGAGGGGAAGATGCAGAGAAAGAAGCAGGGTAAGAGGCCGTTCTTCCCCGATGAGGTTTGCAAGCGCGAGGTCTTCTCCATGAAAGTGAAGCGGAAGGCCCCCATCATGTCGAGGTCAGAGCTGCACAAATATTGCGGCCTCAAGCCCACCAAGAAGAACGCGAATTCGATCCCCTCGATGATGTTGCACTCGGAGGACAGCCTAGACGTCGAGGAGGCATGGCTCTTCATGTGGACGATCGAGTGGTCCTTCCTGCGCGCGCTGAGCATCAGCATGGGCGTCGTTAGCGAGAAGAGCTGTGTGCATGAAGCAGAAGAACCGCATCTTCGCCTCCCAGGGCACGCGGACGCTCGAATGGAGCATGGGCGAGCAGACTCACTCGAGTGGCCCGTCAACCTTGCTCGCGAACCTCAAGACCCACGAGGGCGCCGGCCTGGCCCTCGCGGAGGAGATGGCCAACTCGACGGGGATGCGGCGTCTCCGCGGCGGGGGGTTGCCGTCGGGCGGGGTGCCCTCCATGTCGCCGCCGATGACCATGTCAGGAGCGTGCTCGGTCCTCTCTGGCGGCATCGAGTCCACGCCAGCGGGAAGGGCGGGAGATGGCGAGACTGACTCTCCGCACACGCCCATGCTCTACAGCAAGGGCACCTTGTCGGCGACGACGATCAACGTCATGGCGGAGCGACGTGCTGCGAGGAGCGCTGTGAGCGGGGTGCCATCCGCCCTGTCGGCCATCGGCCGACTCCAGGCAGCGGCGGTGAACACCTGCAGCGTCGATGCTGACGATTCGGCGAGCCAGGCCCCCAATGCAGGGGGCCCCGCTGTGGGCAAGGGGGACCAGTGGATTGCGAAGCTCCCGTTGTCGAAGGTGCTCACTGCTGGGAAGTTGGGCGTCCAAGCGCACCACGCCGCTGGAGAGTTGAAAAGGCTGAAGGACAAGGATAAGGACCAGTGGAACAGACTCACCCTGCACATGACGAAGTACGAGCTCGCGAACAAGCTTCACGAGACCAACATCTTCAGCGCCTCGGCTGGCGATGTCAAGGACGCCTTCGAGCGCCTGCGCCAGTCCATCGATATCCCGCCCGTCGTCCAGAAGAGCATGTGCAAGAAGATGTTCCAGGAACGCGTGACAGTCGAGCTCCAGTCCGTGACCGACGTCACCTTCTTCTTTGAGATGGTGTGGCCATGGCCCACATCCTCTCAGGAAGCGGGCCTCACCTTCACTGCGGATTCGCCGAAGCTCCACTTCGTTGACCTCGAGATGGCCGAGAAGATCCGCATGTTCAACCAGAGTTTCATCAGCGGCGTGTACACTGCACTGATCGGGGGAGGCCACAAGAATAATGATATGCTCGTGACGATTTCTTCTCGGATGGCTTCGCTGATGGACGATCTGCTGGCCGACACAGAGGAGTTCTGCGAGGGCGCGTCGCACTTCTTGGGCGCGCTGGGCTCCACGGTGGGCGGCGTCGCCAAGATCTGCGACCCGACCAGCCCGTGGAAGGCGGACGGCATCGACGCCTTCTACAGCGACATCCTCTCCCTCGACCCCAACCGCGGGGACATCTTCAGCGGGCTGGAGGGGGTGGCGATCGCCATCGGCGCGTGCGCCGAGTACAACAAGACGTGGGCGACCCTGATGAAGGACAAAGTCATGGTCATGGAGCTCGCCCCCCAGGTTTCAGCATCCATGTCCGCCCTCTTGTCGGTGGCGCGCAGCCCCCTGGACTTCGACGGGGCGGTTGCTGCGGCCACCGCGGCGTTGAGCACCATCCCGAAATTCGCGTGCTCCCTGGGCGGCGAGCTCGCGACCCCCGTCGTCAAGGAGGTGACGGCCGTGCTGAAAGATTTGTCGGCCAGCGTCGCCTCAGCCGCGTCGACGGGGTCATTGGCGCAGACGCAGCAGAGCACATTCATCCAGCTGTTGGGCAAGGCAAGGCGGTCGACGCTTTGCCGTCGGACGTCGAGCTTCTGAAAATGAAGACGGAGATGGACGAAGCCGACGCCTCCATGGCCCGCGATGCCATCAGGGCTCAGTTGACCACGCTGATCAACGACATATTTGCTGACACGGCGACCGCGGTCAACCTTCGCGACGACTTGCGCCTCATCATGGGCAAGATGACAAAGGGCGACTTGGATTCGACGATGACTGCGAAGCTCGGCGAGTGCGCCTGCGTCCTCATCAAGAAGATCTTGACGGTGCCCGAGGGGAGTAAGGAAATGGCGGACGCCGAGATGCAGGCAGCGCACCACTTGCACGACTTCCTGCCGAACACGGCCACGAAGGGACAGCAGCGGGGCTTGGAGGCATCGAGCGCATGTCGGTCGCTAAGGCCGACCACGGAGGCAATCGTCCAGAAGTTCTTCGACGATGAGAAGAAGCTCATCGCGGAGCAGGTGGACCTCGGGGGCCCGCAGCTTGCTCCTGCGCGTCCTCCTGGAGAAGCTGGACGCCTACATCAAGGACGAGGCCGACTCGGACATCAGCTTGCACGAGCACATGAAGGCGCAGATCCACCAGTACGTGGAGGACGCGAGGCGCGTGGTGAAGACGGTGGGCCAGCACGCCGTCGACGTGGCATCGGCCGAGACCCAGACGACAGCGGCGAAGATCGAGCCCTACATGCACGGCCTCCCCGACGGCGCGGACTGGTTGAGCGCTGGTCCAGCCAACCTCCACGTGTGGAAAAGCTTGGCGGTCCACGCCGACAGTACGATCTTGTCCACGGAGATGAGCAAGACCACCGGCCCCTTGAAGAAGAATGTGGACGCTGCCGAGAAGGCGGCTGTGTGCCCCCCAGTTATGTTGGTGCAAACGTGCGCGGGCTCACGCCCGACGTATCTTTGTGTTTGTTTCTTAAGTTGTTCAGTGGGTTGCAGATGGGTTTCGAGGAGGAAGGTGAAAGAAGGAAAGCCGCGCACCAGTTAGCCTAAGATACCGCTGCATGGCCTTTCCTCCTTCACCTCCCTCTTGGAAGGCGCTGGCTCACTGGAAGTCCGAGGGTGAGAAATACGGATTGCGCATCGAGGGGGATCAGAACTACCAGAAGGTGCCAGAGATCATCACCAACGCGTGGGTGACTCTTGTGACAGGCAGTTTGTTCATGGCTTTTAAGAAAGCGACTGACAAGCAGTTGCTGAGGGCTACGATCGTAAAGACGACGAGCGCCCTCAAGGAGCGTGGGACTTCGCAGGGCCGTTTGCATCCAACCCTGTTGGCGCGGGTGCAGCTGGCCATGCAATTCAAAATTAATGTGTAGTTAGGTTTCCTGGGACCGAGTGGTGTGGTGAAACGAGCTGCCATTTTGGCGTTCGGCACGCAGCGAGCGCACGCAGACGCCGCGCGTGCATGTCAGCACGGGTGCTGGGTGCGCGTGTAGAAAACACTGCAGCACCCTCTCCCGCAGCGTGCAAGCACGCAGCACGACAGAGAGGTACACACACACACACACACACACACACACACACACGCACCACACACACACACACGTACGCACAAGCTCGGCCCAGGTCCCAGCCCGCAGACAGCATGCGGGCTGACAGCTACGAGTTGCGAGTCGGTCCGCATCGGGGCCTGACTGTGACTGGACTCAGTCAGGACGCGGTACCTCCAACTCTCTAGGCCAGAGGAGAAAAACACGTGTGGCGGGGGTGCGTATTTCTCTTCCCCACTCTTCCGCCCACCCCACCCCCCCGATCCCCCACCGGCCTAACCCCTGCCCCCCGCCCCCCGCCCCCGCGGATCTCGAGCCGTCGCCACCTACCCCCCCCTCCGCGCCCGACAGAGTCAGAGGGGCCCGACGGGCCGACGGGGTGCCCCAGCGGCTGCGTCCGACGCCCCTGGCATCGCCAGAGGGCGAAGTCAGCCGCGTCGAGGCGGCGGGGAAGGGGAGAGCGGAGGAGGAGGAGGAGAAGGAGGCGGAGGAGTGGAACAGAGACGGAAGGGAGGAGAAGGAAGGATGGTGGAATGAGAAAATGGAACACGGCGTGATGACGGCGGGGCCTCTCCTTTCCCTTCTCCCGCCTCCCTTCGTCCGCCCCGCCCCCCTCTCCCTTTTCCCTCCTCACCCCTTCCCTCACCCCTCCCCTTCGCCCCCATGTCCCTCCCCTTCCCCATCCCCCTCCCTCTTCCTCCTCCCCCTTCTGCTCCTCCCCCTCCTCATCCTCTCCCCCTCCTCACCTTTCTCTTCCCCCAGCTTTGCTTTCCTTGGGGCCCGTGCGCTCCGTTTTCTTGTTCATTATTGGCAGCGTTGCGTTTCTTCCCCTCCGAGGCCTCACGATATTTCTCATTATGCTCCTTCCTCGAGGCCTTTCTGGCTTTCCTGTCCGCCTCCTTGTCATTGTTACAATGTACAATGGCAAGGAGGTGATGTTTTTGTTCGTTGAATTCTTTGCATCGGTCTGAGAGCCATTAGTTCTTGTTCTCCATCTCGTCGGTTTTCATCGTGAGTTGGCACGCGACCTTAGCCCCCCCGCCTCCTCCCCCCCCTCCCTCCCCCCTCCTCTCCCCCCCCCTTCTCCCCCCCTCTTGCCTCCTGCTTCCCGCCCCGCCCGCGGCCACCCGAGGGGACAGGCCGCCACGGGCGGCCCGAGGGCGCCGCCGCGCCAGCGGGGGGGGGCACCCGAGCGGCCGTCGCCGCCGTCGTCGCCGCCGCCGTCGCCGCCGCCGAACCCCCCCTCTTACTCCCCACCCCCTCTCATTCCGAGTGGGCCGACGCTTTTTCCCGCCAGGAGCCCGCGGTGCGAAGGTGCCTAAGGCGAGAGCGCGTTTCCGAAAACCAGCGCGTGTCCGAGTGGGCCCTCGGGCCGCAGGCAACCGCTGCCGCTGGCGCCTTCGGTGGAGCTCTCTATGAAGGCGCGGAACGTGTGAGCGCGCCGAAGTGGACCCTCGGACCGAATGCGACCGCTGGCAATGGGGCCTCCGATGGAACTCCCTATGGGGCTCCGCCGCTATGCCCTCGCACCCCCCCTCCCCAGACCACCCCGCTGCCCCCGCCCCTCCCTCCTCATCCATCCCCCTCCACTCCGTCCGTGGCCATTTTGGCTCAAGGCCGCCTGGCTCCAAAGCGGCCTGCGCGTGGCCCGAGCGCGAGCTCGCGTCCGTGGGTGCCCCCCTTGCGCAGGTTCTTGCGCCTCGCGTTGGCTTCCTGATGTGCCGCGCGTTGGTTCGGCAGCGCGCGGCACGGGTGCTCTGCCCCCAGCCCCCCGCCCACTCGGCGGGGCGGGTTTGCGAAATTGCGCGCGGCGTGGCAGCGCCGAGTGTCGCCTGAGCGGCCTGCACTTTTTTTTTGCGCGACAGTGTCGCCGCGACACTGTTTTGAGACTCCTGAGCGGCGCGGCCTGCAGACTGTTTTGACACTCTTGACTACACTTTCCAGCAAAACCTCCGAATCCCTCCTGGAGGAGGCCGCTGCCATCATAAGAGTCGGGGACAGCGGGAGCAGCTGCACAGGCAGCAGCTCCAGCAGCAAGCGGGCGAGTTACAGAAGCTGTCACCGGTGTGGCCGTCGTCGGCGTCGGGCGTTGTTCGCGGGTGGCGTCCAGGAGCGGCCCATGGGGGGGGGGGGGCTGGCCGCGGGACGCATGAGGCAAGGAGGGTGGGGCCCCGAGATCTGGGAGATGTCGTGACCCCAGCCGTGACACCCATCCCCCCTGGTCATCATCACGCTCGTAGCCGCTCCCAAGTTGTCGCCGTCGTCGGGAGAATTCGTGGTCGTCGGGGCGGGCGTCGCGTCTGGGACAAAGAGCGGGCGGCGTGACTCCCCAGACAGGAGGGGAGCCCGCTGAGCAGACCAAGATGCGGAGACGACAAGCGACCACAATCAAGCAGAGGACACACCCCGGGCACTGCCTGGCGCATGCCAACAGTCGTCAGAGCACCGACAGAGCACCGAAACCATCTCGGAACTGGTTGTGGTCGATGTGGGCGTCCCCGACGGCCAAATCGGTCACTGCCGCAGCCAAGGTACCAGTATGCTGATTTCGAGATCGGTGGGTTGTCCCCCGAGTTGCCCTCCAGGGGGGAGCGGGGAAAGGGGGCCCGGAGGGTGCACCGGGCTCCGCGGCCGCTTGGGCTCCACCCGAAATGCCAGGAGAACGACGGGGGACGCCCTGGAGCGATCCATCCTCAGCCTGGGCCTGCCTGGCACTGGCCGGGCTGGGGGCCTCCGACTTCCTGCAGTCGGACCTGGAACAGAGGGACACCCTCCCAAGAACAGATGATGCCCTCCGCCGGCCCAAGCCGAAGAGCACCCGAGGGTGCCCTCCGCCAGGATGCAAAAAGAACACCCAACGAAGCACGAAGAACCTTGTAGGGCACCCTCCCCGAACCGGCTTCGATGTCATACCTCGGCTCGACCGCAGAAGTCTTAGGAGGCCCTCGGGGCCCTGCCACAAGGAGCCCCCCGCCATTCTCAAGCGTCCCCCGCGCCGCCCTGGAGGGCACCCTCCCTCGCGCGCCACGCCCGCGTGCGCGCGCCAAGGGAGGACTGCTCTCCCTTGCCCTGCGCGGCTGCATCACAAACGGCCGCTGGGTCTGACTCCTGCTGCTGCTCGATCGCGCCACGCCCGCGTGCGCACGCCAGGGAAGGACTGCTCCCTCTTGCCTTGTGCGGCTGCATCACGAACGCCCGCTGGGTCTGGCTCCTGCTGCTCCTCGAGCCTCCGCCTCAAGCGTCTGGGTTGGCCCCCGACGCCGTTGCGCCCGAGCACGACCTGAGGACACCACCAACAAAAAACACGTCGAACCGTCTGCGATCATCCAACGAGGCGATAGAGGACAGTGTGAAACATGAGAGCAATCATGAGCCGCCACCACCGCCAGAACTGCATGGAACTGCGTTCATGAAGGCCCCCCCGAGCTGGTGAAGGTGGTGGCTTTGGCTTCGCTGGTAAATGGACCTGCTGTGTGGAATCAGAGCAGGGCTTGAAGAATGCCGACCCGAGAAGAATACGACACCATCCTCTTCAGTCAACGTCCTTCTTCCTGCTGCTGCCCCTCTCATCCTCGTATTGCGGCAATCGCACGGACATGAGTAGCGCTGAAGTTCAGGAACGAAGGAACTATCGCAGGCAAACCGTAGAATGAGCACGCACGCTGAGGATGCGAGGGCCTTGCAAAGCCATGTCGACACTTCGCGGGCGGGGCGCGGCCAGCGTAAGCGGCCAAGGATGGACCAAAGGGGAATGATGCAAGGGTAACCTTGGAAAGTCGCTCATCCCTACTACAGTGGAGGCTCATGCTAAGAAACACTCTGCTTGCCTGCAGGGTTCCCTGGGTTCCTTAGGTTTCGATGGTTTTGCTGTGGAAGGCGTGACGTTCCCACAGCAAAAATCGATGGACGTCCTGGGGTCTCGGGGTTGGGTTTCTGTGGAAGGTTTCTTGTGGTTGGGCCTCCACTGTATGCGGGCTGACAGTATGCGCGCTGCTAGAGGCCTCCCCGCTGGGGTCGGAGCACAGGAGGCTGGAGGATCGCGCCGCACCGTCGATGCATCACCGATGCATCGGCGACGTCGGCGTGCAGAATATCAGGCCCCGCATCGAGCCGCATCGCCGACAAACCGGCGATGCGGCGCAAGCCTCCGACCCCCGGTGCTCCGAGCCTCATACAGTAAGTCGGCGGCTAGCGAGAGAGGGGAGTGAGAAGGAGAAAGCCTTCTCAGAAGGTTCTGAAGTCCCCTGGCCTTTTGAGAAGTTTTCTAAGCCCTACCCGAAGACACAACAAACCTCTCAGAAGGCGCGATGGCTTCTGAGAAGTCCCGCCGCCTTCTGAGAAGGCCTTCTCCTTCTTACTTCCCCCCTTGCTCGCCGCCGAGTAGGAGCTCGGCCACGAGAAACCTTCCGAAACCTTCCACAAGAAGCCCAACCTAAGACCCCAGGCCGTCCATTGACTTTTGGTGTGTGAACGCCTCGCCTTCCCATAACAAAACCATCGAAACCCAAGAATCGCACGGCACGCTGGAGGCAAGCAGGGTGCTTCTAGGCATGGGCTTCCACTTTAATTACGGGAGGCCTCGAGCTGCGAGCCTTGGACACGGGCACCTTCCCCGACAGGGACCTGCTGTGAGCGGCCCGAGAGAGGGACCACGTCGTCATTGCTCCACCGTCTTGGAAACACATTAACAAGTTATATTAGACTCTGGCACGTGTACTTGCACGGATATGCGCCTCCTAGGTAGGGTCCGAGTAGACGGGGTCGCAGGATCGCTCCGCATCGCCGATGCACAGGCGATGCATCGACGATGCATCGCCGACGTCGGC